CTTCTTCCCGCCGCCTTCATCCCCGCCGCCTTCTTCCCCTGCCGCCTTCTTCCCCGCCGCCTTCACCCCCTGCCGCCTTCTTCTTCGCCGCCTTCATCCCCTGCCGCCTTCTTCCCCTGCCGCCTTCTTCCCCGCCGCCTTATTCCCCGCAGGCTCCTCCCCTGCCACCTCCTTCCCCGCCGCCTTCCTCACCTGCCGCCTTCTTCCCCGCCGCCTTCATCCCCTGCCGCCTTCTTCCCCTGCCGCCTCCTCCCCTGCCGCCTTCATCCCCTGCCGCCTTCTTCCCCGCCGCCTTCTTTCCCTGCCGCCTCCTCCCCTGCCGCCTTCTTCCCCACCGCCTTCATCCCCTGCCGCCTTCTCCCCCGCCGCCTTCATCCCCTGCCGCCTTCTTCCCCGCCGCCTTCCTCACCTGCCGCCTCCTCCCCTGCCGCCTTCATCCCCTGCCGCCTTCTTCCCCGCCGGCTCCTCCCCTGCCACCTCCTTCCCCGCCGCCTTCCTCACCTCATCCCTCGATCCCGACCCCTCTCCATGCATGCATGCATACCAGGCGCAGATTCTCACAGTCGTGGATATGGTGGCAGGTGGCGGGTGATATGCCAGTGCCTCGCCAGGAGGACCTGCGATCCAGCACGCCTGGGGTGTGGCAGAGCCCAGCAGTCCCACGGCACAACAGTCTCCGCGAACCACCATGGTCCATCAGGGTGAACGACTGGCATGCTCGACACCACTGGGCACCGCATGGTCGTGTCAACTGTTGCGGGGAACCAATCCGCCATCAGCACGACACGCTCTCGGCCGTCGGGTCCAACGTGAGCGATGATGCCCTGCACTCTCCCAAACCACATGGTTGGATCCTCGGGGGCAGGACGAGAGAGAAACCATTTTCCAGCTTCCAGCGCCAGCGGGCCAGCCCAGGCCCAGCGGAGGAACTTGGCTGTCGCCTCAATCACACAGTTGGCTGGCCATTCAGCAGCTGCCGGCCTGTACAGGTTGTAAAACCTCCGTAATGAGGCCAGTTGCGAGCCACTGAGTGTGTCGATCCGCTCCACCCGGCCCAGGTAAGCTGGGTGCTCACGGCGGAGAAGAAAGTCCTCAGGCTGCCACATTGTTAGCGGCACAGGGGCTGTTTCGCTGTCAGCTGCTGGGGGTGCTGCAGTTGACGCCCTCAGATGCAGCACAACCTCCTTGTCCAACGCGTTGAAGAACATGCAGGGCTCCATGTGCACCTTGCTGTGCGCCCAACGGCCTAGCTGGCCCCAGATACTCTCCGGCGGGAACATGGATGCCGCAAAAAGGGGCCCTAGGGAGGCAGGAGTGCCAGGAGTGCAGTACAGTGTGTGTGCGGTATCCCACGTCTTGACACACACAGCACATCACATGTCTCAGTGCATTGAACACGGCATGGCCTACACAATGCGGCACATTCCTTACCGATGTTCTTTATGGAATCCACCAGGTGCAACAGGTTGTGCAGCTTTATGTCCATCTCATTCATGGACAGACGAAGCTCGACTAGGC